GGCTGTACACCATGATTCGAATCCAGATTTAAAGATCAAATTCTGTGATTTTATCCAGTCGGCCACCTGAAGGCCCAATTTTGTAGCAAACTACAAGAATCGAGTCATTAAGAATTTAATAATTTGCTAATTCATTGCATTGGGTAAATAATTTGCATGTCACATAGATTTAAAATTCTAACATAGCACGCAAAGTCACATTTTCCTAAACAGGTATGGGCTAGCCAACGGTCAAGTGGTAATATCGCTGAACACTGGTAGTTCGACCCGGACTCTAGTTTTGGCAAACAGGCTGACTGCATGGACGCTTCAGTGGTTTTCCTTATGTGTAAAAGCCCACCAGTGGCCAAGCTGTAATGTCGCTGAAAACAGGTAGTTCGGTCTGAGGTTCGAATCCCATAAACGGGCTGGCTGCATGGCCGTTTTCGTGTTTTTCCCCATGTGTAATGTGTATATGAGGCAGTTTCTTTTAGGAAGTCCTCCACGAAGGCATCTCTCCACTTAGGCAGATAACTCTCGAGCCTTTGCCGTAATCACATAAACCAAAACCAAACTAACTTTATGTGTAAATACCAGCCAATTTTCCCTGGGTAGTTCCCTAGGAAAACATCCTTTCATTAATTAGATAATACTTTTTTTTGCTTTGCCGTAATCAAACAAACTAAACTAACCCTAAGACAGTCATGTGCTTTATCACCTTTTTAAAGGAAGTTCCACATTCAACATTTACAGCAGTAATGAGATAATTTTATTTGTTTACATATGTCATACTGTACACGTTCGAATATTGAAGAGGATAATTATAATGCTCTTTCGGCTGATCAAAGAATAGATAGAAACGGATCAAAGAATAGATGGAAATAGATGATACAAATGTATCTTTACATAGATCTTATATACACAGGTAGATAACACACATTTAAGAATATCAAATTTATGCATAGAAATATTGCTTTTGAATGAATATTACAAAAATATTTTTCAGAAAGACAATTTAAGGGGGAAATTATTGTGTGATATTCATTCTAAAACAATATTTTCCTCCCTAAATTTATACGGTATTTTCTCCCTCCTTTCTGCATGCATTCGTGGCGTAACATAATGCACTCGATGCGTATTCAAGATGTCTAAATTTCGAGTCATGGCGAAGGCACTGCTAATTTTTCATGAGTTGCCAGCACAAATAAGCTAATGTCTCTACAGTGGCACTCAAAATAAGAAAAAAATGGGATGGATGATGATTCTTCACCACCAGAATTCCAGTCGCCCTTTAAAAGGGGGAGTATATAAGGTATTTTCTCCTTCCTTTCTGCATACTTTGCGGTATAATGGTAGCACCCTTGGTGCGTATTCAAGAAGTCCAGATTCAAGTCCCGGCAAGGACATTGCTCACTCTTCACGTCCTCAGCATCAAGAAAACCTAATGACTCTACAAATTATCTTTCTGAAAACCATATCTGTTTTTATATATAATATTTTACAAAAGGATTTAAAGAAAATTTAATCTTATTCTTTAAAAGAAAGTATATTTAATGTGTTTCTCTTCAAGGTATGCTATTTAGATTATTTCCTATCTTTCTTGTAAAATATTTACAAACAAATAAAGCTCATATATTTGAGATCGTTTGATATTCAAACTATGTATTTAATTTATTTTGAAACATCTTAAAAAGTCTGATGTGAACACAGCATGCCTAATAAATTAAAAACATTTGTTTGCTAAACTTCACTTGAACTTAAATCGTTTGAAAATGAGATATGATCTTCCATTTCAAAGTGCCATTTTCGCACTGCCAATTGCAGTAGAAAAGGGAGGTGCACAACTTGATGTTATTACAATCCCATACAGAAGCTTTCAACATTCTACAACCAAAACCGCTGAATTATGCTAGTCATAAGTCCTAAATATAAAATTTTAGCATTTTATGGTGAACCATTTATAAGGTCATATGTATGTATAAATGTCACGATGGAACTAATAAAAATTGATATATCCTTTGCAATATCAGAATTGAAAATTTTCGTGATTACAATACTTTATTTATTTCTCACAAGTTAAAATGGTGTCAAAAATAACTCACTGTTAATAAATTTATGATGCAATCTAAAGAATTATTTTAATCTAATAGTTTAATCTGGAATAAACTTAAAATATTAGAAAATTAAATATAAACATAACATTAAAATAAGTTGTCAAGCATTTATATTCGAAAAATTGGAACACGAGGGGGGAAAAATTCTCATAAATTCCCTTTGACTATGTATATTAAAAATTATTTTAACAGAAAATGTTTGTAAGAATGCAAGATTAATTTTTCACCATTATCGAAGCAATTCCCTAAAGAAACTGGAAATTTAAAGCATTTTACATAGTTTCTATTACTTATACATATTCACTAACTTTCTGTATTCAGCACATATCTTGATTGCTATAAGTAATATATAACCTAGATGTTAGTGTGCAAACTATAAAGTAGCCAAATAGGAGACAAAATATCTTTCTAGCAACCAATTTTGTGCCGAAGATACCATAGGGAGGAAAACTCAATTTCCCTTGCGAAATTCAACGGAGGGGAGAATTAGCTTAATTATAACCACATGTAGGGGTGCGCGATTTTCAAGTAGTTTGAATCAAAATACTAGCCATTTCTGCGAATGACCAGTCAAGTACACATGATTAATTTTAATGCCGTTTCCTGAAAAAGCCGAGCCGCTCAGAGGGTTCAAGCAATGTTCTCTACCATCAAGGAAATATTTGTGGTGTGATACCTAAACTAAAAATATTCAGCTGTATATTCCTCAAGTTTTCAGAAAACAAGTGTTTCAAGGAATTTATCACATCCAAGCATAAAATTGAATATAATGACATCAAAATTCATTTGGCCCAACATTAAGAAAGATGTAAAGTTGTGGACACGAACCTGCATTCCTTGCCAAACAGCTAATATCAGCCGGCATACCAAAACAAAATTAATCGAATTTGAAGTACCACCAGGAAAAATTTCTGCAATCCATATAAATCTCATCCCCATCCAAAGGGAATATTTACTGTCTTACATGCATTGACAGATTTTCGAACTGAATGGAAGCAATGTCTTTAGATAATATTTCAGTTGATAATGTCGCAACAGCCTTTTATAGCAAATGAACTATGTGTTTTAGAATGCCAAGCAAACTCATAAGTGATTCTGGATCCCAATTTAAACATGGCACATTAGGAACTTTGTCCAAAATCTGTCACATCAATTTATAACATACTACTGCCAACCACCCCTTGTGTAATGGCAATTTTAAGTGCATTCACAGAACATTAAAAACAGCATTAAAAGCTCAGAACAACATGTATTGGACTGACACATTACCAACAGTACTTTTAGATTTGTGTACTGCTATCCAAGAAGGTACAAATCATTCTATTATACAAGTAGTTTATGGCCAGAGTCTCAGATTTCCTGAGGAGTTTTTCAGCAAATCAAGTATCCAGATCAGCATAGGACTCTTTTGCTAATAACCTCCAGAAACAGATGGAAGTCGTCATAACCAGACAAATTCATAAAAATTCATCTGAATGGATATAAAGACTTCAAAAACTCTTCTCATGTGTTTCAGCAAATAGATTGGGGGAGGGACTCTGGAATCTCCTTTATGAAGGACCATTCCCTGTCATTGATCGCAAAGATAAATATTTTACTATTAATATAAAAGGAAAACATGTTAATGTATCCCTGGATCACTTGAAGACAGCTTTTATTTTAGCTCAGGAAAATTTAACAAAACCTGACAACAGCAAATTGCAGAGACTTGACTCAAATTCAGATATGGATCAAAAACATTCTCGCACAGGTAGAAATATATGTTTATAGTCCGACCATCTCAAACGCAACCTTGGCTGGCATTCTGCCAAAACACATAGACTCGTCAAAAAGGGGCATTACTACTTGCTGCAACGTGAAAGTCTTCTCTTCTCCAGAGAAGAGAGATATGCTAGAGAGAGAAAGAAAGTCTCCATCCTTCCACCCTATTTTGAAAATAATTCGTTCCGGATGGCGCATGCGTGTTTGTGCTCATGGTCGCAGATGAGGTAGTCAGACTATACCTGTTAGAATCAAAGATTGTATCTAAATTTTTCTGACAGTGGTCAAAACTGCAGTGCTAGTTACTACATATTTCTCCACCTTTGTAACCTTAGTTACTGGTCCGGGAGTAGTGTAGTGGGCCAGTTATTGCAGGAGTTAATAATTATGTTTTATTTCAAGTATTTTATGTTTTTGCATGTGTTTAATTGTTTTGAATTAACTTTTACATTTTGTTAATATTCATATTTTTTTACGCTAAATAGCAACTAGTAGTAATTCATGATTATTCCATTTTCAAATGTTGATTCTATTGTTATTGTTATTCAAGTACCAGCTCATTTTAATAGCAAAAAAATAAAAGCAGTTACTTAGCTATTCGTTAGTGATTCTTGCTGTTTCTAATTCTGTTTGAATATCAGTAGTCAAGACTGCAGATGAAAGAGATTAAACGTCTGCAGATTTACGCAGACCAACTTCACTGGCAAAACAAATTAATTAGAATATTTTATTTTGATTAATATTACTTCATATTTTATAAATTTCATAACTTATCTATTGTATCAAACGGCAGTATAAACTCCTCTAAAAAGAAATGTTAGTAACAAATCAATAAAATAAGTTTAAAATACCATGTATCCTAACTCATGCTTTAAGTAAATTATTTTTGTTAAGATGATTATTATATTTTAAAAAAATACATACTTATAAAATAAAATATGTAAAACTTATAAAATTATGTAAAACATATTCATGGATTTGTGATAGTTTTATCAAAAATGTTCTACGAATATTATGGAAATTTGATACAGGTCTCTCATCTTAAGAAGCAAAACTATTATTCTGCCTTTAGGCATTTAAATAAAGATTTTTTTAAATGATATTAAAACTGAAAGCACATATTCTAACTAAGTTTGAATGCCTTACTGTGATTAATGGATGTTATTCTTCCACCAATTCTTTCTTGTGCTTCTAAAATACTAACATCATTAAAGTTGCAGTTAGATAAATACAGACCACAAGTGAGGCCAGCAACTCCAGCTCCAATAATAAGCACTTTTAAATTGTCTCGGAGACTCTTTTTATAGGATAAAAGCTCAATTTTCTTATATTGTTCAGAGCTACATATATTGGTTAATTTCAGTACGTCTGAACACCTGAAATAAAAATTTCTATATATGATTTAAATTTACTTATTTTTTTTAACAATTTAAGAGTAGCACAACAAAGCTCTCATCAATTAAAAAAATTCAACTTCCTTTTTTAGCATTAATTTCATTTAAAAGACTAAATTTAAAAGATTAAATTTAAGATTTTAGATTTAAAAGGCAGATCAAAGACTCCATTAATTTCAAATAAAAAGTCATGGCAGATCATTCAAAGACTATCTGCCCCAAAAATTCATGTTCTAACATAAAAAAGTACATAAGATAACAAAAGAACATCATAATATATTCAAATTTTAAAACTGTTCAGATGTTTCAAACATACTGCATGCACTGTACATTAAGTTTTGCTGAATATTCCATTAAAGCATTGAAAACAAATTCATAAAACTTTAAAGTATTTATCTAAAAACGCATTAGGAAAATTTTTACAGTAAAAATGTTTGGTTTTCACGCAAACACTGGTATGGATTTCTTTATAACTTACTATCGCTGTTAGACTCTTATTTTTATGTATGAATGTTGCATTCTTTTGAGAAGATTATGGTTCACTAAATGAAAATAAGAAATTAGAACACATTACCAATTAACCAAAATAACCATAATAATTAAACCAAAATAACCATAATAATTAAATTTAGTCTTCTTTTGGTATGAATATTAGAAAATAAAAATTCATCCTCTTTCAATCTTGAACCAGTTAAATAAATTACTAGAAAAGTTCTTAGAAATCATTAGTATAATTGTTTGATTAATGTAAAAGCAAATGAATATAAAAATTTTAATCTCCTTAAATATTTTTAGTTTAAATTCAGCTTGGCTCTGGCACTTCTTTAAGCATGAAACAGTAGACAGAATTGCTGAAATTATGTGTACATTTACGTAGTACCTCAAATAAATACCAAACACTTATATAAAGCTAAAAATAAAGTCATATGTAATCTTTCTTTTCTTCCCCCCCTTTTTTTTAAAGGAAAGTGCTACTTTAAACATATCTTCGTCAAAGATATCTGATTTTCACTTGAAAAAGGATTAAGTGTTGCATTATGCTGTCACTACACAAGAGCATGACTTATACTACAATACATCATACTTTTTAAAGCTATCTAATGCTTATTTACATTGGATCTTCTGTCAATGTTTCCCTTACTTTTTCTACACCAAACAAATTAAAAGCACAAGAATCACACAAGTGCATCTCATCCATTCACAAGGTATGAAACTGGAAATCGAATTGTGGAGGCACAAAAAAATACTATCATTATTTCTTAATACAGTCAAAAGTCTTTAATCCGGATGTCCATAATCCAGAATGATCTATAATCCGGACCTCAAAGCTGCAAACTTTCTGCGCATGCGTAAATGCATAACACATTTATGCATGCGCATATACGTTTATGCATGCGCGTTTAATGTATAATGGATGGTATAAGCTAAGCTAAAATTATCTAATTATCTATTTCAGTTAATGTTGCAGATAGCATTGTTCCTTAACCTTCTAATTGGATCCGGCTTATTAATTTTTGCAGACTGTTAGAGCAATTTTATAAAAGTTAGCTTGAACTTTCCATTATGTCAAAAAGAATTTCTAATTCTGGAGCTGCCAAAGAATCTACAAAGCAAAAGCATGTTTCGATGTCCATCAAACAAAAAGTGGAATTGCTGCAAAAAATGGATAAAGGCATTTCCTTTGTTTCTCTAACCATTCCGAAATCTGTTAATCAATTTCACGCTGCTCTGCAAGGGGGGGCATCGCGGAACGCAATTAACTGGAAGTTGATCTGTCAGCACTATCCTCATCTTCAGGGCAGATGTTTTTATTTTATTCGGCTTATAATTCCATACTAAATGTAATATTTCATCTCGATGTACTCCGTCTTTGAGATGATTTAAATCAAATTCCTCGTCATTATAAATATCACGAATACACATCAAACAGTTTTCTGGTTGCAATTTTCCAATTTTGACTATGCGTAATGTATGCTTTACGCATGCGCAATTGAAGAAATGTTTAATAAAGTAAACAACTATATATTCACTTTTTTTTGTAAATTTTGTACCCTTTAGATCATAATTGCTCTTTATTTCATAAATTACGGTTTCAAATTTTTAATTTTATAATCTCTACATGCCATCTTACCAGATTTAAATTGTTGATCTATTCTCCGGAAAAAATCGATAATCCGGAATCGCCGAAGTCCCGACGAGTCCGGATTAAAGACTTTTGACTGTACTACTTAACATTCTATCCAGAATATTCTTACCACATACATAGAAATGCAAGTATACATGCTAGAAATTTTAGTTTGATTCTTTTATCATTTTAAGTTAGTACCTGTAGTGTCGATGCAACCTGTCAGCTTCACGAAGACCACTTTCACAAGCTCCGTGAACAGTAGAAAAATAACTACTATGCGAAGCTTCTCCAGCAAACAAAAGAACAGGGTGCTAAAATAAATATTTAAATTTTTTTCACTGTACCTTTTACACCATCACAGTTGAAAGATCAATCACAAATGATATTAAATAAATGGAATATACTTCTGTAGATTGCTTACAAATAAGCAAATTTAATTAAATGAGGAAAAAAATGAAATGAATACTAAATACTGTACTAATTATCTACATTGAAAAACTTACATGATGCACAAAAAAGGAAAGAAAAACATTTAGTTTTTTTTTATTCTACAGATAAACACACATGAATGCTTTGCATTGCGCTGATTTTGCCACGGTTGCAGTCAGGGATACTTTCCTGTTAACAGGGTGCCAGTTGCCAAATTTGCACCAAATGATATCACCTGTTTATATCACACTCTACAATGTTTGATGCCAAGGCTGCGCACGATGCCAAATTTCGACAGTTCTCTGGCTTTTTTTTAGTAAAACCAGATATCTGTGTAGATGAGGAGAATGAAACTGCTGCTTTATACACAGTATATATATACATACATATTATGTATAATCATACCATGTATGTATATATATATATATATATACTACTGTAGTATACATAATATATCTATATATACATAATAGTATGTAATTATATACACAATTTGTTTTTACTTACAAAAAACAGAGAATTGCATAAATTGGGCATGACGCACATTTAAGTACTACACATATTATATTATAGGATACATCACTGTCACTACAAGTTCATTTTTTTCCTGAAGCTTTAGGAATCATTAAGGTTTTTTGCCATTTAGTTAGACTTTATGTCAGCATTTGCAGTTGCCACTAACTGTCACCCCATTAACTTTTTCGTGCCGACTATCACGCATATGGGCAAGTAAGAAATGCACTCATTTCCCAGATGGCACACTGGCACCACAGGCTGTCACACATTCGTGCCAGTATCCTGGAGCATTTAGAAACTATAACTTTTGCCACAAAATGGCACTGCATGTCCACAGGATTTGAGATACATGTAGATTTGACCTTCCACACGAAATGAGAGAAATGTGATTCACTCAGAGGAAGAGGGAAAACATAATGTGAAAAAAACAAGGTTTGGCTTTGCCTCTTGAGCTCACCACATGATATTAACATTCAAGTTTTTGATATTCCTACGAATCCTTTTTTTACTCTTTCTTCACTACTTTGTAGGGTCTTATAGAGTTACTATCTGGAGTTCTGTTATGTTTTGTGCTGCTTTCGAGTATATTTTGCATTCTTCACTTTTTATTTTGAAAAGCTTAAACTCCAGTTGATTATGCCAAAAAAGTGTTGTTTATCAGAGGAAGGATACAGTAAATGAGCCACTTAGTGACATGGATGAGAGTGATGATTCATTTTCTAAAGCAAGGATGTCAAACTCGCTGCCCACAAAAAATATTTTTGCGGCCCGGCCAATATATCGGCAAATAATAATATATAATAATAAAATAACATATCGACGAAGAAAAAATGAAATGTTTACTGCTAATTAATTAGCGATAATTTTTATTTCAGTTGTTTAGATTACTCACAGCGAGCTGACACACACACACTACTTAAAATACAAATGCGTGTGAGTAGCTTGCGTTCAGCTACCTTCGGCTTTTGGGGGACACATGCACTCAGAACTTGTACGCATCCCCGATAGCCGAATGTGGCCGAACTCATGGTCTCAGTTTCATCATCATAGTTTTGTACGATATATTGGTGCATGCATGTGCATGCACTTTGCTTTATTATTAATTATTACTTAATTCATATTGTTACGGATTTCATAGTTATTTATTTAGTTAGTTTTTTTTTTTATTTAGAATTGTAATTAGATTTGCTTCATGTTGCCTTAGCAACGCAGACGATTTTTGAAAAGACAGCTGCGTTGGAAGGTTAAAAATAGAACAGCGCGTGCATTTAATACCTAATAAATAAATATCTCGTAATTGCTGTTGCCATCCACAAAAATCCAGATATTTATAGATGTTTCCAGTATATTCGAGAAATTAATTATAAAGCTTATAAAAGCCGAGAACAAACAACTCATCTCAGTAGTAGCTGTAGTTCTAGCGAACTGTTTGTTTACTTAATGCTGTGATTGATTTGTAGCGATTTCGCTGTGAGATAGAATAGAATTAGTTTCTTGTTTTGAATTGATTTTTGCTAAACGTTTGACATTTTGTGATATTGTTAGAAATATTTTTGAAGAAATATTTCAGCATTTTGATTTATCTCTTGTGGAAAGAATAAATTTTTTGTTAACTTTTTAACGTTAACCGTGTTTATTCCAGCCCTTTGTATTCAGTATGTCTATATCAAAACCAAGTGGTAGTAAAATTAAACGAAAAATCGCTGACGAACATAGAATATTCCAAGTAAAATGGGAATTAGAATATTTTTTGCTGTGAAATAAAAGATAAAATAATCTGCTTGATATGTAATAATACTATTAATGTACCAAAGTTATATAATATTAAACGTCATTACGAACAACACAATCGAAATATAACAATTACGAAGGATTAATGAGAGAGAAAAGTTGAAAGAGCTCAAGTTAGGAGTGAAAAAGCAACAGTCCATGTTTAGTAAAGTATTGCAGAAAGTGAAGCGGCGGTACATGCAAGCTACGTCTTGTCCGAGTTGATAGCTAAAACATTCGAAGCCTTTTACTGACGGTGATTTCATCAAGGAATGCCTAATGAAAGCTGGAGAAATTGTTTGTCCTGGAAATGTGAAGGCTTTTCAATCAATTTCATTGTCTCAGTTGCGGAAAGAGTTACTGATTTAGCCGCGAATTTAAGTGATCAGATCAAAGCAAAATCATCTAGTTTCGAAAGTTTCTCCATTGCCTGTGACGAGAGCACGGACATTAGTGGCAAAGCTCAATTAGCAGTGTTTCTTCGTTCTTGTGACAAGAATTTTAACATTTTTGAGGAATTACTGGAACTAATACCGATGCCTGGTACTACCACAGGGAGAATATTTTACTTGTGTTTTTGGACTTCTGCAGAGAAATACAATCTACCTTTGGCAAAATTAAATTCTGTAGCTACAGATGGCGCTCCATCAATGACCGGGAAAAACAAGGGCTTCGTAGCATTACTAAAAAAAAACTTAGTGAAATTCACGGTTCAAACATTCATCATATGCATTGTATTATACATCAAGAAGTTCTATGCACGAAAGTAATAAATATGGAGAATGTTTTGTCATATATAAAAAAAGTTATAAATTTTATAAGATCTCGAGGTTTAAATCAGCGTCAATTCACTGCTTTCTTAAGTGAGTTAGATAGTGAATATTCGGGTTTGTCCTACTATACCGAGGTACGTTGGTTATCTTGCTCCAAGATTCTCAAACAATTCTGGGATTTGAAGAAAGAAAAGAAATATGTCAGTTTTTAAAAACGAAAAATCAAGACGTAAGTTTTGTTTACGATCCAATATGGATACAAGATTTATCTTTCTTGGTTGATATAACCAAACACTTAACCGATTTAAATTTATCGTTACAAGGAAAAGATCATATCATTACGAACATGTTTGACATAATTAAAGCATTCAAATGTCAACTAGTTCTTTGGGAAAAACAACTTAAAATGAAGATTTGACGCACTTCCCGACGTGCAGCATGAACAAATCAAGTTTAGATGATACCTGTTCGTATCAAAAATACGCAGAAAAATTGCAAATTTAACAACTGAATTTGAAACGAGGTTTAATGATTTTAGTTCCCTCGAAGACAATTTTTTTTGTTTTCTTCGATTTTCTCAATAAGTATTGACTCAGTACCCAGCCATATGCAATGGAGGTGATCGAGATTCAATGCAACTCAAATTTGAAAGCAAAATTCATTGAAGTGGGCGTGCCTGAATTTTACAAATATTTACCAGCCAGGTTTGAAAATACTCGAAAATTCGCATATGAAATTATTTCCATGTTTGGTAGCACTTATCGGTTGCGAGCAGTTTATTTCAGTCATGAAAGGTAATAAGTCTCCTATTAGAAACCGTATTAATGATGCTCACCTTGGTCAGCATTGAAAGTTATCACTGCAAACAAAATTTCTCCCGAAATAGGAAAGATAATAGCAGAGAAGAGATGTCAAGTATCAGGACGTAAACATTAAATTTTTCTTGTTCTTTTCTATATAAATATATATATGTTTATTATTGTATTATTCAAAATAAATCTACATTTCTATGAATCTTGAATTCCCCCCCCCGGCTAAAGTTAAACCTTGTTTGTTTGGCTCAAGTGTACCTATGAGTTTGACATCCCTGTTCTAAAGTAATATTTCTAGTGATTCTAATATGGGCATTTATTGTTAGAAGGTGACTTTTCTGTGTGCCTGCCTTGCCATGAAAGATTTTGTTACTTCTTCTAGTAAATAGTCTTTCTTGTACTTTTAAAATTAATTTTGAAGATTATTAATGTGTTTTGTAAATTAAAATATTGGAATATTTTGAATAGCTCATCTGAAAACTATTTTTAAAGTAAGCAATTTTTTACATGTAAAGAAAAAATATTATTAAGTGATAATTTTAATTTATATGATAGCTTAAGTAATAATCTAAAATGGTTCCAAAAATCATGATGTTAGGAGTTAAACTTGTTTTTATGCTTTGTTTCCCTAAAGTTAGGCTTAGCGACGCTAAACCCTCGTACTGTGGGAGCATTCATTTTGACTCCCCTCCATCCTGAAGGAATGTTTTAAACAAAGACACATAATCTTTAAAGGGTTAACAGAAAAGTTATAAAGATAACATGTATAAAATGTTATGGGATTAAATATTTTACCATAAATACATTTAGGTAACTACACTTAAACCTAAAAAAATATTCAACAAAACAACAATTTAAACAAAAATATTGAATAATGTATAATCAACATTTGGAAATACTATGCACCGCGTCCAGTAAAATACTTATGTGCACTTTCTTTCTGAAATTGTTAGTTCTAAATATATACTACCATTTGCAAATGTGTTTTCTGATTACACAAAATCCATGTTGTAGGTGTTTTTTTAATTTAGAAAATCAATTTGGTTAAAAATTCAAAAATCTAACACTTTACAGAATCTTCCAGTTCCTATAATTTTATTTAAGAAACATTTGTACTCATTATAAAAAATTACATAAAAAATTTGACTTCTGGATAGAAAAAAATTAGATATTTAAAATTTGAGAAGTCGGACTTCATTTTCAGCTTACTATGAGAGGTTACAAATTAGAATAATTCAAGGCTGAGTTTTTGGTCCTTCGCTGCCATTCAATGATATTATTTTATATATATATACTAGTATGTGATATTCTTCAATTTATAACTGTGTTATTGTGGTATGCCAAAAAAATTTTCACACATGTAGTTTATAGCTTTCAGATGCTAATATTACATTATTACTATACTCGTGCATTTTTAAGGACTTTTCTGGACATAGTGTATAAACTTATAATAACTTTTACAGAATCACTAGTATTACATAAATATGCAATAACTTTGAAATTATTTCTCTTTATGTTGCTAGACCTATTAAAGAATAATGTAATGCTCATTTCATTAAATGAGAAGACAAAGCGTTTTTAAACCTTTATTAGTTGATTTGCATAAATTATAATCAGTTATGTGCTTTAAATTCCTCATTACAACAACCCAAACATGATACAGGAAATGAAATGCATAATGCAAGTACTGCTATATAAATTCCATTTCTGAGGAAGTTAATAAGTGAAACATTCAGAAGTTTTTCTTCAGATCTAGGCATAATAATAAATATCTTCCTAGTTCAGAAGAAGCACTGTACTGCCATGCCTTACAGTTTGTACTGTATCACTGATAAAAACAGTATGGATATATGAAATTTTTCGTACCTTATATGAAGATAAATTAGAATATTCAGGTTCAGCAACATCTGAAGGTAAAGCATTTGCCTTAGCACAGTCAACGGAAAGATAAGAATAAGACCCATATGTAGTTGCATCTGAAAGCCATGATGATCTGGAAGAGGACAATTTAGATGGAACATTAATTACTGCAAAAGGAATCAAACAATTATAGTACTGTTTAAATTTTTCTTATTTTTCTTTATAAAAAGCACTGCAAAACAAAACCTCTTAAGAACTTCTGTTTTGGTGCATAAAGATCTGGACAACAATATACACTCTATTCAACCCTATTCATTGATGTCATGGCATAGGGCAAGTGTCAGCAAAAGATTTGGTAGGCACATAAAGTATAGCATTTGCAAAACACTTCAGTTCCTGTTGCCAAGAATAGACAGAGAAATCCATCACATTTACAAAAAAGGAATGATTATTGGCATTTCGGGTAAATGAGGGAGCATTTCAAAAATAGTGCAATTCATGAAATGTTCACATGCTGCGGTGGTGAGAATGTACCACGAATAGCAAAACTGCATAGTAAAAAATAAGTGGTGTGAAAACTGCCAAGCAATATAAGGCATAGATGATAGAGTTGAAGAGTGGCTCTGCAACTCTGCAGTATGCTTAGGGTGATCAACATGCTACAGTGGAGCAACTTAGCTAACCCTAGCTGAATCAGAAGCTGCTGCATCCAAAGTGATTCCGTTGTATCAAAAGTGAGAGTTCAGAAAACTTTCTATGCTAGGGCTTCACAGCAGATGGATGATGAAAGCACATGTGCAAATGACTGTACATCAGTGGTATAGGCTGGAATTTTCACAAGAGTTCCAATTATGTACCTTCCCCAATAGACAAAAAGACTACAGCAAAAATGATTAATCATGTCTTTTTGCTTCACTGGACTGATGGACAATGTCATGTGCAACAAAAAATATCAAAGAGCAAATATCTCTTTAACTATTTATAGAGGAGTACAAGCTGATGGAGAAAATATTATGGTCAAGAGAATGTTTCCGTGGCATTTCTTTAGATCTACTCATCATTGTGAATGGCACTATGGAATGCATTAAGAAGTCATCAATTTGTGCAGATCATGTATACCCATAAATAAATGCAGATATTCTCTCCTGGGAATGATGACATCTTCTGGCACAACAAAGTGACTTAGCACGCAAGTAAGAATGTACATAAGTGGTTAGAAAAGCACAAGGAAGACTTAATTGTACATTCCTGCCCTATATTTTCTAGATTTAAACTCAGCTGAGAATCTGAGAACCATGTTGATCAGATGTTCACTGTATAGATCCTCTGCTACACACTCTCCATTAATTATAGTTGCACTACAATCAGCATGGTTCTTGTCAACACTTCCCAGCACTACACCAAGTCCTTCCCAGACAGATAAGCTGCTGTCTGCACTGCAGACGATGGTTATTCTGGATACTGAGAGGTGGTCACAATAATGTAATTTGACATGTAATAAACATTACATCATCATAATTCATTACTGATATATTTCATAACTAACCAGCCTGGTAGCTTCAGTCAATATGCAGAGTAACTGTACCAGTTGAAAATGAATCAATTTCTTCTATTCATTAATGCAAAACAAACAAAAAATTAGACAACAATAATTAAATCAATACTAGCGGGCAAGCCCGCCAGCTGAGCGGGCTGAGGAATAAAGGCCAATAACATGAGCGGGCTGAGAAAAAAGGCCCCGAGGAATAAAGGCCAATAACAGCGGGCTGAAGTCCAATGTTATTGGCCTTTGATGCTAAAGCAAAGTTTATAAAATTAAACATTTAGCAGTAGTAGCAGTAAAAGCTCCCTGATATACTATGTTGTGCAGACATTGAAGACAATAAAAAGTTTCGATCTTAACCAATTTATTAACAATATAATAAAGAATAAAAACACAGAAAATAAATTTAAACAATATCAGAGTCTTAGGAAAATATAATATAACCATCATTCATCAAATAATATTTTTACCTGGTTTCCAAAAACACTGGCATTCACAAACAAAATATCCTAAACAGTAATTATGCGGCCTAAAAATGAAGTTAGCTACACATTCAAAAAGTCCATGATCAATGGTTGAGAAAACACCTGAAATTTAAATCAAGTTCTTGAAAGCACTCAAAACCGGACTAACTCCTTTTCCATTAGTTGAAAACGAAGAATCGCCGCTCACGTATTTTAAATGCCACCGTCATTGAAGAACACAGATGCCGCCCACGGCAGTCACTCACATGGTAGCCTCTGGAACCAAGGAATTTATTCTGGAACAATCATCTTGTGGATATGAACCAAGGAACTCATTCCGGAACAATCATCTTGTGAACAGGAACCAAGGAACTTTATTCACCGGACTGCATGCATCCTTCTGAAGGGGCTGGAAACCGCACACCCAAGTGCCAGGAAAGCAGGAACTAGAAGGAGGGTTGAGCCAGAGCGACGTGAGATACTTATAGCAGAGGTAGGCATGACGTCATCTCACGGCAGCCAATCAGCTATCGGCACGAATCGGCTTTCCACATGACGTAACATCACGTTTCATTTTTGCATCTGAATTAGGTTGAAACAGTCCGTTCTCAAAGCAAACAGTGGCAGCAAGAAAAAGAAGTAGAAGTAACTAATATATTACATTAAAAATAAGAACTAAGCCTAATAAATATTTCAAGGAGGAGAGATGATGCAGTAAAAGGTTTACAATAAGTTATATTTTCCAACAAATGCCCCCCCACATCATCATCTCCGACCTGAAATAAAAAACTGAATGCCAGCATCTTTACAAAATTCAAAACAAGAATAAATAAATATCACAATTTCTTCAATTCAGAAATTTTTAAGAAAAAAATTTTCCTTTGGGAACATCTTATCCCATTATTCAAAAATTTACCATAACAAAAAGTCCAACATGTTACAAAACAATACAAAGACATATATGATCACACACTCAATACTTTTACCCAGGGCCCTGGTCATTCATACAACATTCTACACTATACAGTTTTACATTTACCTAATATCCATCATAATATGACTTATAACATATTAGTTTCAAATAAACAAAACTCTTAATTAAAATACACACAAAAACAAATTTCATAAGAAAATTGTTCCACAAAATCTTATCAGGTTATGCTTAGTCAGCGGTTTTGTCATGGGATCAGCCAGATTATCTTTACTTGGAACATATTTTAAATCAAAAATTTCCCTGTTCAATAGATCACAAATGAAAAATAGTTTCACATCTACCGTAATTTCCGGAAGAAACGCCGCGGCGTTTGCGTGTTTAAAACTTAAATTTTCAGCAGGTGCGTCGTTTCTACCCATGCGGCGTTTAGGTGCACTAAAAATAAAATATTTCCTATGATGGTCATTGTACATAGTTTGGATGGCCTTGTCATTGTGCATAGACTGGTGCTGTTCCCACACAAAATACCACTCAGTTGCTTTTTGCGAACGTTCTGATGGTGACGTACTGATGGTTTCTGCTTCGTGTACAAGTTACTTGTCTCAATGTAGATTGACTGTCAGTGCCAATTGTAGAAGAAGGTACATTGGTATCGGTTCTTTCCTCTATTTCAGGAAAATAGCCAACTGGAGTATCAGTAGATTGAAACTCTACCCTTTCTTCAGATTCCAAATCAAGGAAGGGTGCCCAGTGCAGCTCCACTGCCACTTTTCTGCATTCCAACTCGACTCTTTTAAAGTAGCGTTTAGGGTTTCTACTACCTTTTTGCTCATTTTCCAACCAAATCTTGTACCCTTTTGTTTCGTACACTGTATACCCAATCAATTCGGCCCTTTGTTGCCTTTGGATCAAGCTTAGAATTTCTTTTAGCCTTTGGAATTCCCACATAGGCAAATCGTTCCAAATGCCTTAAGGTGACGTACTGATGGTTTCCGCTTCGTGTACAATTTCGAATGGGCATTCTATCTTGGCCCATTTATGACAAATTGCTGTTAAATGAATATGCAAAATAACATTACTGCATCTGACCAAAATTCGGAACTCATTCCACTATCATGTAAGATTGCACGTACATTGTTGAGAGCTGTCTGATTGAATCTCTCACAAACTCCATTTCTGTTCTGGAGTATATACATCTGTAAATTCGTGCTTTACACCATTTTTATTACAGTGTCCCTGACTATACCCTGAATTGATCATTTCATATCTTTCAGCCCATGTGCCAGTCCTAAAGTATTTCAATCTAGAGGTTCAAGATCTTTCAGCACGTGCTATATGCCTTTCAAATACTTCAAACACCTGACTTTTTTCTCCACAATGGGGTACACTACCATACATAACGAGAATATTCGTTGAATAAAGGAAACGAAATAACGTTCACTCACTATTCCTACCTGGAATGTTAATACGTCCCTCATACATCAGAAAAAAACCCTTTCAAGCGGTTCTCTTTACTTGAATACCTTCTAAGGGTCTATAGGAAGATTCGTCTTTGCTTATTGATTTGGCAATGTTCACAAAACAAATTAGGTGAGTGCTTTAACACAGGAAGACCTTCGAACTGAATGTCTCTTACTAGTCCTGACAATAGCACCATAATTTATATGACCAAACTGACCATGCCATAATTCACTATTGTTATGCTGAACTGTGGATGCCTCAAATTTTACAGATTTGTCCCCCTTTTTCACTATTTTCGGGAATACATGATAGTTACTTCCTATCAACTTAGCCTTGTACAAAGTTTCATTTTCATCATCAGTAACTTTAATTTGCCCATTTTTACCATAAAATCTTGCTCCATTGATATCCACCCTAGGTCCAGATATTAAATTTCGTCTCAGTTAAGGTGAGTATAACACATCTTTAAGCAAAATAACCGTATCCCCAAATTTCATTTTAACAGTATCCTTCCCATGAATTGGAAAAGTCACCCCATCAATAGCTACTAGCATATTCTCATTTTTCACAGGAGAAAAAGTATCAAACAATTCACGATTTTTACAAAAATGATGAGATGCAGCAGTATCAAATATCCAACTATCATCATTTTCCTCCAAATTGTTAACATTAGCTTGAGCTATAAAATGGGACTGAGCATGGGAATTATTTTTACCTTTACTCAACTTGGG